CGACGGGGGCGTTTGAACCGCCGGACACCTGCGGGCGGTTGCCGCGATTATATGTAGAAATAACTCAAGGTGGCAAAGATACCTAATACAGATCTAAGCTCACTTTCTCTGGCCCAGCACAACAGTTCACCATGACTCCATGAAAGGGAACGACTGCACTGGCCCAGACAAAGGCAGCTCAGATTTCTTCCCTCATGTTTAATAAAACACGCTTGACTAAAAAGAATCATGCAAGAAATTAATTTCTCAGCTAGGTTTCCAGTAAGAGACAAGAAACAAAATTCAGAGGAACACTGTCCATAATCTGGGCATTTGAATGGTTACTCTGCTATGTGTAACTTTACATGATTTATAAGTCTATACCTACTACTGAAATCTCTCCCACAATCTGGGCACTCATACGGTTTTTCTCCTGTGAGTCCTCTAGTGGACTATGAGGCTGGAATTCAGACTGAAACTTTTCCCACAATGACGACATTTATATGGTTTCCTCTCCTGTGTGAGTCCTCTGATGTTTAACCAGGTCAGATTTCCAAGTGAAATCTTTCCCACAATCTGGACACTCATAGGGTTTCTCTCTCGTGTGAGTCTCCTGATGTGTCACCAGAATGGAATTAGTTTGGAAACTTTTCCCACAATGACAACATTTATATGGTTTCTCNGGTGGGGCGGCGGCCAGGGAGGAACAGCCAAAATGCCCCCTCGGCTTATGCGCGGGTCACCAATTTTTCCCAGTTCTCTGTGGGAAAATCGGTCCCTCGGCTTATACTCGGGTCGACTTATACTCGAGTATATACGGTACTACAATCTGATCAAACTTAGAGACTAAAATAAACCACTAAGATTATATTCTAAAGGATTTTGATGAATCTTTACCAGTGCTCCCAATGTGGCAAAAGATTTAGCATGCACCACAAATATGTGAGACACAAAAGGACTCACACTGGGGAGAAACTCTTTGAATGTCCTGATTGTGGGAAAAGTTTCACTTGGAAATCTGACCTGTTGATACACAAGAGGACACACACAGGAGAGAAACCATATGAGTGTCCGGATTGTGGGAAATGTTTCACTCAAAATTCCAATCTGGTGACACATCAGAGGACTCACACGGGAGAAAAACCATTTGTGTGTCCTGATTGTGGGAAAGATTACTCTCGGAAATCTGACCTGGTGAAACATCACAGGACTCACACAGGAGACAAATCATATAAATGTCTTGACTGGGGAGAAAGTTTCAATCAGAATTCGTATCCGGTGAAACACCAGAGGACTCACACAGGAGAGAAACCATACAAGTGTCTGCAGTGTGGGAAAAGTTTCATTCAAAATTCCCACCTTGTGCGACATCACAGGACTCACACAGGAGAGAAACCATATAAGTGTCCAGATTGTGGGAAAGGTTTCGCTCAGAAGTTTGACCTGGTGATACACCAGAGGATTCACACGGGAGAGAAACCATATGAGTGTTCAGATTGTGGGAAACGTTTCATTTGCAATTCCGACCTGGTGAGACATCAGAGGACTCAGACCAGAGAGAAAAATAATAAGAACTTCTTGTCTGAAAGAGCTGGAAAACAAATATTTGCTGACATCTAATGGACAATTAGACTATCGCACATTAAAGACAGTGCCCAGAAACAAAGAAAAATCTGTTAACATGAACTCTAATAACCTTTAAGATAGTTGCCAGGGAGCAAAGAAGAGATTGTATACTGGGCCAGCTATAAGATTGGAAAGTGTTTGAAGGAAAAGAAATACTTTCATTGTGGTCTAAATTTATGAACTGTTTAACTTTGATCTATGACTAATTTTTGAGAGGGAAAGTTACAGGAAGGATTTAAGGTGGCTAAATATATTGAATTGCAATTCTGACTGGTTGACAATTGACTCCTGAAAGAAAGAATTATTATAAAACATTGATTTTACTGAAACCTTGACAATTGAAAACTACAGTGGATTATTAAAATTATATATAAAGACAAGAACTATACAAAATTGGACTGTTTGGACTTTGAGTTATGGCCAGCTTGACAAGGCTAATTACAGAAACTATGGCACTTATGACAGATTAAAGGGGGAGATAACATGGAAATGATATATTCATCAAAAAATGATAGAAAACCACACTTAATATCTACTCTTGAAGGATTCAGCCAGAAAGATTGAAGATCTATAGAAGCAACATTTCAAGACAAGACAAATACTTTCCAAGAAAAAATGTATGCAATGCTACGACAGATACAAATCACAATAGTTCTAAACCACGAGAAGATTAAACATAACTTTGATAACATAAATGAATACACTTCTAACTTAAATTTACAATCAAAAAACATTCAAAGAATGATGGTAAAGAATGAACAAACAAATCAGATAACAGAATGTAAAGTAGAAAAAAATGACTTAATTGGCGAAGTCACAAATGAAGGGAATTATAACTTAATACAAACAAGAGAAAACGATTTGGATTTGGATACAACAATAAATATGGAAAAGATACCTTATGTATTAGAATGTCAAAATTAACCTAATAACAACTACAAAAATACAAGAACTGTTTGACAAGTTGAAAATATTAATTTGGAAAACAATTTGGCATAGGAAGATTAGAGACGGGCTTAAGAGACTTGACTCGCCCTACCAGATGGAAGTTTATATGAGCAAACACTTGTTTGAATATGACTAAATAAACAAATAACTTTGGCTATAAAAGGGCTTTAGAATAAGTGGGATAAGAGATATAAGTAATATATTTTTGATAAGATACAAAATGTAAAAATATTGGGATGATGAAAGTGAAGGAAAAGTTTGAACTTTGAAGACAAATTAAGTTTGAAAAGATTTAGGATTAAGAAATGATTGAAATATTGTGGGGAAATTAGGCTTAATAAGAACTTTGAAAAAAGGATATATAGTGATTCAATCAATTTTTACAAATAGAAGTGAAATATAAATTGATTAGAAAAGATGCTACAGGTAGATGTTATCATAGATAAGTAGTATTTCTATAATATATGAAATATGAAAATATTGGTATGATATATTTAAGTGGAAAATTTGGATATTTAGATGTTAATTATTGAGAAAATTATGATTGATAAGAATTGTTTGAATATTATAGAGAAATTGAGCTTAAACAAGATTTATGAAAATAAGATATATGGTGAATCAGTAAGTTGACTTTTATGAAAATAACATAAGTTGATAAGAAAACAAATGCTATATATGGACGCTATTATTGCTGGTATAAATACAGAAGAAAAAAATATTTTTATTTAATCATTTATATATGGAAAATATCAAATATCAAAAATTATATTTAATGCTAAAGAAGGAGAATACTATTGGGAGAAGAGAGGATCAAGGAAATATATTATCAATTGATATACTAATTATGGAAATATAAAAAATATTGACTGTTAATTAACTATTATTGATTGTAAAAAAAAAACATGAACCAAGACAACACGCTGTACAACAGGCACTAAGGTTGTTATTGTAAAAAAAAATCAATAAAACTTTTACAAAAAAAAAGTTACATGAACACTGAGGGAGATGGGCAGATATGAAATATAAATAATAATAATAATAATAATAATAATAATAATAATAATAATAATAAAAATAATAATAATAATAATAATAATAAAATTTTCCCCACATCTCAGATTCAGAATAGAGCTGGATGGTTCCTTGTGGGTGTTCTACCCAATCCCCTGCTCAAGCAGGAGAACCCATACCAGGGGTAGGCAATCTTGGCTCTTTTATGACTCGTGGACTTCAACTCCCAGAATTCCTGAGCCAGCATGGCTCAACTTGGAAACCTCTCCCTTTCCCCTCAGCATGGCTGGCTCAGGAATTCTGGGAGTTGCACGAGTCATAAAAGAGCCGAGCTTGCCTACCCCTGACCTATACCATCTCAGACAAATGGCTGTGCAGTCTCTTCTTAAAAACCTCCAGTGATGAAGCACCCACAACTTCTGGAGGCAAAGCCGTTCCACTAATCCAGTGTTTCTCAACCTTGACAATTTTAAGGCATGTGGCCCAGAATTCCACAGCCAGCATTGCTGGCTGTGGAATTCTGGGAGTTGAAGTCCACATGCCTTAAAATTGTCAAGGTTGAGAAACACTGCACTAGTCAATTGCCCTCACTGTGAGCAATTAATCTCCTTAATTCCAGGTTGCTTTTCTCCTTGATTGGTTTCCCCTCCATTGTTTCTTGTCTCGCCTTCTGGTGCTTTGGAAAATAAGTTGACCCCCTCCTCTTTGCGGCAGCCCCTCAAATACTGGAATACTGCTGTCATGTCAACCCTAGTCCTTTTCTCTAGACCGGCCATTACCCATTTCCTGCGACCGTTCTTCATAGGGGTTTAGTCTCCAGTCCTTTAAATTTTAGTCCCTCCCGTCTCCCAGCAGAAAACTAGAGGCAGAAGTTTTAAATCATGCAGCAGAAGTGTAAAAACTTTTGGGGAGAGAAGGAACATGCAGCAGCCGATATGTTTCAGCCTTGCCCCTTCTCTGCTTTTACACCCCGGAGGAAAGCAGACAGCCCCGACTTGCTCCCGACTTCTTCCCTGACCTGCCCTCCACTCACCTTCCAGGAGCATTGGAAGAGCACGACTTCCGCGTCCCATACCTCCACCCTCCTATTGATGAGCCGGAAGTTCCGCTGCCCTTCTAGCCTTTCTAGCAATACTCGATGGTTTACATTCATTTCAACCTCAGTTGCTTCCCCCCACCCTCCCGTTGTACGTCTGACCTCAGCCACCATCGATGCCGCTAATATATTGACGGTTTTCCAGGCGCTGCTGTTCTGTTAGAGCTCCACCTAGTGACCTAAGGCTGAAAGTACGCTCATTCTTTCTCTGATGTTTCTAAGATTTTTTTTCTAATCAAAATGCCTTTTTCCACTCTTAGCCACCACATCCGTAACATTTCAACAAGGGACGATCTAGCCCTAGTCTGTCCTTTGGGGTCTTGCAGGGACGCCCTCATCGTCACTGCAACTGAGCCAGGAGCTTTTTTGCAAGAGCTAAACTGAGGGAAAGCATCTGTGAGGGGAACACAATGTGCCATCAGGCAATAAGAAAGTGCACCTGCCTTGGGGATCAGTTAGGAGACAATTCCAGCCATTTCTTCATCTTGAGGGTGCAGGATAACCCCCCAAAACTACCTTTGCACCTGAGGGATGTTGGAAGAGTGAACGTTGACCCTACTTAGCTTTTTAAGATTAGCCAGGTGCTGCACCATAAAAGTTGGTAAAGATCTTGTTTGTACGTTTCGTGACTGTTCAAAGTTACAACAACACTGAAAAAAGTGACTTAGTATGACCAGTTTTCACACTTACAACAATTGCAGCATCGCCATGACTGTGTGATCTAAATTCAGCCCCTTGGCAATTGACTCCTATTTATGACGGTTGCAGTGACCTGGGGTCACGACCTTCTGACAAGCAAAGTCAGTGAGGAAGCCAGATTCACTTAACAGTATGATTAACAACTGCAGTGATTCACTTAACAATTACGACAAGAAAGGTCGTAAAATGGGCAAACTCACTTAATATACGTTTCACTAAACAAGAGAAATTTTGAGCTCAATTTTGATCGTAAGTCAAGGACTACCTGGAATGGAATACAGAATAAAATCTTGAAGTGCCCACCCACATTGCTTCAAAACACACCCGGGTAGCATATATTATTTTTCCATCTGCATTCTTGCAAGGCCTAAATCTCACTAGAGGGCAGAATTGCTCAGAGCAGCCTTTCCAATTAACTTCCCTTGTTACCTTTCAGCCTTATTATTCCGCAAGCAGGTTGAGCAAAACACTTGGAGGAAGCCTGTTTGCAGAAAGCTGGTCCAAAAATTCCTGCCTTTTCACAGGAGTGGTTTTTAAGGGAGATCAAAACCTCTCTAAATCCTACAATTTTATGAACGAGTTCTTGTCGCTCTAGAGAACAATGGTGGTGGCGGCTTTATGCTTTGAGGCTGCTTTTCTTCACCTGGAACTGGAGCTTTAGTCAAGGTGGAGGAAATTATGAACAGTTCTAAATATCAGTCAATTCTGGCACAAACCCTTCAGGCCTCTGCCAGAATCCTGAAGATGAACAATAATTTTGACATTCAATGACCCAGACCATACTTCCATGTCAATAAAACAATGGCCTCACCAGAGGAAGATCAAAGTTTTGGGATGGCCCAGCTAGAGGCGAGACTTGAATCCAACTGAAAATCTTGGGGTGACCCTCACAATCTGACAGATTTGGAGCGTTTTGCAAGAAAGAATGGGCAAAGATTCTCAAGGCAAGATATGCCAGGCTCTTATCTCAAACGCCTGCATGCTGTGATAAAATCAAAAAGAGCTTCAAGAAAAAATTAGTTTAAAGGTGCGCATCTTTATGAAACCATGTTATTGTAAGTTTTTTATTGTTATTTTTCCTCATAAAATATTTGTTATACAATCGAATTGTACAGCTTTTAAGTTAGATTAAAGGTGGAAACATTCTGAGGGGATTTGTCTTGGTCTGATTTACTTACATCCCAAAAAGCTGGCATTTTACAAGGAGCGTGGAGACGTTCTCTATGCCCTGTATATCCTGCGGGGTTTTGGGGAATAAGATGATATATAGTAGATGCAGATATATGCACAGAGAAAAAATATGTATATGTAGACATTCCGTGTGTATTTTAGCCTGAAAAATGTCCCAAATTTAATACTGTCAAACCTTCTGAGCTAATTTTAGAGATGTGAGGGCTTTAACCGATGAAATGATGCCTAAAGACTTTGCAAGATTTGAAGCACCAGTTTTGCCTGTGGAAGCCCTCAGCTCCCAATAAGGCCAGAAAATACTGCCCAAAACCCCTGTGGGGACATCCCCATTCAAGTAGTCTTCACTTACTAACTGTATTTGGGATTGGTATCTGTGTCACTAAGGAGCCCGATCATTAAGCATGATGTCACATGACAGTGCCAACTTACATCTGCTCCTCTGCCGTTGTTAAGCTAATCACTAATCTTAAAGGCACTTTTACGTGACTGACTGGCAACATCTTGCCGGCATCCCCTTGTCAGAAGCTGGCTGGGAAGGTCACATGTGGGATCATAAACATGCACTGATTGGCAGCACCCAAATTGGTGCAACTCCTTTTCCTGCACCTACAGAACCTCAGGAAGTGTGGTCACTGAAGAAGTGCCACAATGGCCACAAATGTATGGACCAGGTGTATGTCTGCTTTTACAGTGCCGTAATAATTATGAAGGCTCAGTGAGCAAATGGTAAGCGAGGACTTCCTATACAACTGAACAACCCAAAGGTCCCCTGTTGGAATACATGTTGGAATGTATTTTGTATTGCAACAACTACCAAATTATTCAGCCACTAGTTGGCAGTCTTTAGTTTGCATCTACACTTATAATCTATGGTTCTATTTAGTTCTGGGTTTCCTGTGACAGTTAAAACGTTAAGCAGTAAGGCCCATGGTAATTGTACACTTTAATTTTCATTTGATCTGTATGGCCATGTAACCATCCTCTGCTACTAATCTGTATGGCTATATAATAATCCTCTGCTACCAGTTCTACATAATAAATCAGAATTTCTAACATCCTCAATGCTATTTTTTTTATATAGTACTGGGTTAACCATAATTGAACCTGGTTAATACCCTAATGCAGCTCCAATAGGAAATATTGTGCTTGTTAGCTAAACATGGAAGTAAAAGAAATCAAAATCCCAGGAGAGACCCTTAAATATTGCCATTTGATAGGAGCTAGGAAGTGAGCCTTTTCCATTGCAGACCCTGCCCTATGAAACATTCTTCCTCCTGAAGTGTGGCAAGCCTTTATCCTTCTAGTCTTCCGTCAAGCAAGGGAGATCTAGCTGTTCCCCATAGCACTGGGATAAGAGGCACCTGCACATCAGACACTTGATTTGGCACCAGGTTTTTGTTTATATGCATTCGGTTTTAATAATTAGTTTAGTTTATTGATTAGCCCATAGGCCATATCAGAATACAGAGTTCCAAACATCAATTATTAATAAAATCTCATAAAACAAATTAAAATGAAATTGGAGTAAAATACAAGAATTTGACAATATAGGGATGACCCTGCATCAGAAGCTTGATTTGGAACCAGGTGTTTGTTTATATTAATTAAATTTATATGCCTTTAATCCTGTCGTGAAGTTCTCCAATTCAACTCCTTGCAAGATGAAAGGTAACCAGTTTTGAGCAAGAATGGCACCAGGCACGGATATAATTAGTAAGGCCAGGAGGCCTGGTTACTTCAAAATTGAACAAAAGCAATTTTTTGGGATTCCTAGACTATCAAATTGCCATCAACCTTGCTAGAAGTGCCCTGTATTTGCAGGGAAGTACATTTTAAATGCTGAGGTTTTGCATTTTGCCATTTGCTATATATGGGGTTTATTGCTTTCTGTATTAAGGTTTTATTGCTGTAAACCTTGTGGAGTCGTATGAATTGGCCTGCCATGTATACCTTCTTACTAAGTACATACATACATATTTGTATCCCCCTTTATTATATATAGAAATAACTCAAGGTGGGAAATATAAATACAGATCCAAGCTTGCTTTTTCTTGCCCAGCAAAGCAGTTCCCCTCCTTGATGACCTCCAAGGTGCCTTCCAACATCATCATCATCATCATCATCATCATCATCATCATCATCATCATCATCATCATCATTATTATTATTATTATTATTATTATTATTATTATTATTATTATCTACTGCACTGCGCCAGAGAAAGGAAGCTCAGATCAGAGGCCTGCAGGCTAAAACATATGAAGAATGGTTACAAGAACCGGGCATGGCTAGTCTAGTGAAGAGAAGGACAAGGGGAGACATGATAGCAGTCTTCCAATATTTGAGGGGCTGTCACAGAGAAGAGGGGGGTAAACTTATTTTCCAAAGTATCGAAGGCGAGACAAGGAACAATGGATGGAAACTGATCAAACAGAGATTCAACCAAGAAATCAGGAGACATTTTCTGACACTAAGAACAATCAATGGAACAGCTAGCCTTCAGAAAGCTGTGTGTGATAAGGGAGTAACTTTCTTTGAAACAATGTCTGCAATCTTGAGTATTTCAATGGTTACTCCACTATGTGTAACCTTACATGATTTATAAGGCTAGACCTACTACTGAAATCTTTCCCACAATCCGGACATTCATACGGTTTCTCTCCTGTGTGAGTCCTCCAATGTATCACCAAATGGGAATTCCAACTAAAACTTTTCCCACATTCCAGACACTCATACGGTTTTTCTCTGGTGTGAGACCTCTGATGTTTCACTAGGTAGGAATTCTGACTGAAAGTTTTCCCACAATCTGGACACTGATAGGGTTTTTCTCCCGTGTGAGTTTTCTGGTGTATCATCAGGTTGGAATTCTGACTGAAACTTTTCCCACAATACAGACACTCATATGGTTTCTCTCCCGTGTGAGTCCTCTGGTGTCTCAACAGCTTAGAATTCCAAGTGAAACTTTTCCCACAATACGGACAATCATACAGTCTCTCTCCTCTGTGATTCTTCTGGTGCTTCACCAGTTCAGCCTTGCAACTGAAATATTTCACACACTCTGGACACTCATACAATTTCTCTCCCGTGTGAGTCTTCTGATGAATCATCAGGTTGGAATTCCGAATGAAACTTTTCCCACAAAACAAACACTCATAAAGTTTCTCTCCTGTGTGACTCCTCTTGTGTATAACCAGATCAGAATTCCGATGGAAATTTTCCCCACAATCTGCACACTTATATGGTTTCTCTCTGGTCCGAGTCCTCTGGTGTTTCACCAGGCAGGAATTCTGACTGAAACCTTTCCCACAATGACATTTATATGGTTTCTCTTCTTTGTGAGTCCTCTGATGTCTAACCAGGTCGGAATTGCAAATGAAACGTTTCCCACAATCTGAACACTCATAGGGTTTCTCTCCCGTGTGAATCCTCTGGTGTATCACCAGGTCAAACTTTTGAGCAAAACCTTTCCCACAATCTGGACACTTATATGGTTTCTCTCCGGTGTGAGTCCTGTGATGTCGCACAAGGTGAGAATTTTGAATGAAACTTTTCCCACACTGCGAACACTCGTATGGTTTCTCTCCTGTGTGAGTCCTCTGATGTTTCACCGGACACGAATTCTGACTAAAACTTTCTCCCCAGTCAAGACATTTATATGATTTGTCTCCTGTGTGAGTCCTCTGATGTTTCACCAGGTCAAATTTCCGAGAGTAATCTTTCCCACAATCAAGACACACAAATGGTTTTTCTCCCGTGTGAGTCCTCTGGTGTGTCACCAGATTGGAATTCTGAGTGAAACATATCCCACAATCCGGACACTCATATGGTTTCTCTCCCGTGTGTGTCCTCTTGTGTATCAGCAGATCAGATTTCCAAGTGAAACTTTTCCCACAATCAGGACATTCAAAGAGTTTCTCCCCAGTGTGAGTCCTGTTGTGTCTCACCATATTTGTGGTGCATGCTAAATCTTTTGCCACATTGGGAGCATGGGCAGGGTTTTTCTCCGGTATCAGTCCTTCCATGAATTATGAGGAAGCTCTTTTGAGTAAAACTTTTGCCTCACTCCAAATATTTTTATGGGTTTTCACTGGGTGGATTCTTTCGTGCATAATCAGCTGTGATCGGCAATAAGATGTCTATAGTTTTTTCCAAAACTGATATTCTTGGATACTTGAGGAGGCCAAAAATACTTCTGATCCCTTACCTGGAGGTACTTTCATTCAAGCCACTCTTCCCTTCATCAAAGGCTTTCATTAATAGCTGTCCATTTTGGCTATCCAAAGGACCTTTTCCTTCCCACTAAACTTCCAGTTATTTCCACTTTTCCTTTATTTGGATATTCTTCCCCTTGACTTTTCATGTAATGCTTGCTTGAGTTCCACATACTTTATTTTTTCCAGCTGAAAATATTGTTCTTGTTATTCTCTCCTTGATCTCTCATCTGCTGAGGAAGGAAAAGAGGAAGTGGAAAAATTTTTGATTGATGGCTTATTTTGCATTGTAATACTGCTTCTCATTCTCTTTTCTCCAGAGTGCTCTTTTTGGCATCATGTTTGTCTGTAAGATTCATATTAACAGGTTAGTTTCATTACTGTTTAAAAAATGGCTGCAGGACATGTGAAAGCAGCAAACCCCCCCCCCTATATTACCATGAAAGAACAAAGATGAAAATTCTAGTTTAATCTCTAACATTAATTATGATTCATTTGGCATGTAGAAGACTAGCAGATCCAAGTTCAAATATCAATCATAAAATCCTTTTTTTTTTTGGCTTGGCTAAGTCACACATATATGCATGCCTAAACAAAAAGACCCCTTCATGGATTACTGCCTTGTCGTGGCGAAGGGGCTTAGATAACTCAATGAAGCTATGAGCTATGCCGTGCAGGGCCACCCAAGATGGACAGGTCATAGCAGAGAGTTCTGACAAAATGTGATCCACTGGAAAAGGAAATGGCAACCCACTCCAGTATCTTTGCCATGAAAACCCCATGGACCGTACCAAAAGGCAAAAAGATATGACGCTGGAAGATGAGCCCCTCAGGTCGGAAGGTGTCCAATATGCTACTGGGGAAGAGCAGAGGGCTAGTACTAGTAGCGCCAGAAAGAGTGAAGCGACTGGGCCAAAGCCGAAAGGACGCTCAGCTGTGGATGCATCTGGTGGTGAAAGGAAAGTCCAATGCTGTAAAGATTTTTTCTCCATAGGAATCTGGAATGTAAGATCCATGAATCAAGGCAAACTGGATGTGGTCAAACAAAAGATGACAAGACTGTACATTGACATCTTAGGAATCAACGAACTAAAATGGACAGGAATGGGTGAATTTAATTCAGAGGACCATCAGGTATACTAGTGCGGGCAAGAATCCCTCAGAAGAAATGGAGTAGCCTTCATAGTCAATAAAAGTGTAGCAAAAGCAATACTGAGATACAATCCCCAAAATGACAGAATGATCTCAGTGCAAATCCAAGGCAAACCATTCAATATCACAGTAGCCCAAGTCTATGCCCCAACCACTGGTGCTGAAGAGGATGAAATTGACCGGTTCTATGAAGCCCTACAGCACCTTATAGAATCAACACCAAAAAATGATGTCCTTATCATCATGGGGAATTGGAATGCTAAAGTAGGAAGCCAAAAGATAACCGGAATAACAGGCAAGTTTGGCCTTGGAGTACAAAATGAAGCAGGGCACGGGCTGATAGAATTTTGTCAAGAGAAAATGATGGTCATAGCAAACACTCTTTTCCAACAACCCAAGAGACGGCTCTACACATGGATATCACCAGACGGTCAACACAGAAATCAGATTGACTATGTGCTCTGCAGCCAAAGATGGAGAAGCTCTATACAGTCAGTAAAAACAAGACCAGGAGCTGACTGTGGCTCAGATCATGAGCTTCTTGTTGCAAAATTTAGGCTTATATTGAAGAAAGTAGGGAAAAACACTAGGCCACTCAGGTATGAACTAAATATATCCCTGGTGAATATACAATAGAGGTGACAAATAGATTTAAGGAATTAGATCTGATAGACAGAGTGCCTGAAGAACTATGGACGGAGGTTTGCAACATTGTACAAGAGGTAGTAACTAAAACCATCCCAAAGAAAAAGAAATGCAAGAAAGCAAAATGGCTGTCTGAGGAAGCTTTGCAAATAGCTGAGGAAAGAAGGGAAGCGAAAGGCAAGGGAGAAAGAGAAAGATATATCTAATTGAATGCAGAATTCCAGAGAATAGCTAGAAAAGATAAGAATGCCCTCTTAAATGAACAGTGCAATGAAATAGAAGAAAACAATAGAATAGGGAGGACCAGAGATCTCTTCAAGAAAATTGGAGATATGAAGGGAACGTTTCATGCAAAGATGGGCATGATAAAGGACCAAAATGGTAGGGACCTAACAGAGGCAAAAGAGATTAAGAAAAGGTGGCAAAATTACACAGAAGAACAATACAAGAATGACCATAGCGTCCCTGATAACCACAATGGGATAGTCACTGACCTCGAGCCAGACATCCTAGAATGTGAAGTGAAATGGGCCTTAGGAAATCTGAGCAACAACAAAGCTAGTGGAGGTGACAGTATTCCAGCTGAGCTATTCAAAATCTTAAAAGACGATTCAGTAAAAGTCCTACACTCAATTTGCCAGCAAATTTGGAACACTTAACAGTGGCCACAGGATTGGAAAAGGTCAGTTTACATTCCAATTCCAAAGAAAGGCAATGCCAAAGAATGTTCAAACTATCGCACCATTGCACTCATTTCACATGCAAGTAAAGTTATGCTTAAAATCCTACAAGCTAGACTCCAGCAGTATGTGGATCGAGAACTTCCAGAAATACAGGCAGGATTTTGAAGAGGCAGAAGAACTAGAGATCAAATTGCCAACACACGCTGGATCATGGAAAAAGCTAGTGAGTTCCAGAAAAACATCTACTTCTTGACTATGCTAAAGCCTTTGATTGTGTGGATCACAACAAATTGTGACAAATTCTTAAGGAGATGGGAGTACCAGACCATCTTATTTGTCTCTTGAGAAACCTATATGTGGGTCAAGAAGCAACAGTGAGAACTGGATACGGAACCACTGATTGGTTCAAAATTAGGAAAGGAGTCCGGCAAGGCTGTATTCTGTCACCCTGCCTATTTAACTTATATGCAGAGCACATTATGAGAAAGGCAGGGCTAGTTGAATCAAAAGTTGGAATTAAGATTGCCGGGAGAAATATCAACAACCTAAGATATGCAGATGATATCACTCTAATGGCAGAGAGTGAAGAGGAACTAAAGAGCCTCTTGATGCGGGTGAAGAAGAAGAGTGCAAAAATTGGCTTGAAACTCAACATTAAGAAAACCAAGATCATGGCATCCGGCCCTCTCAAATCGTGGCAAATAGATGGGGAACAAATGGAGGTAGTGACAGATTTTATCTTCCTGGGCTCCAAGATCACCTCAGATGGGGACTGCAGCCAAGAAATCAAAAGACGCTTACTCCTGGGGAGGAAAGCTATGGCAAATCTAGACAGCATATTAAAAAGCAGAGACATCACCCTGCCAACAAAAGTGTGTATAGTCAAGGCCATGGTTTTCCCAGTTGCAATGTATGGCTGTGAAAGTTGGACCATAAGAAAGGCCAAAGAATTGAGGCCTTTGAACTATGGTGCTGGAGAAGACTCCTGCAAGTCCCCTGGACTGCAAGGCGATCAAACCGGTCAGTCCTAGAGGAGATCGATCAACCCTGACTGCTCTTTAGAAGGCCAGATCCTGAAGTTGAAACTCAAGTACTTTGGCCACCTAATGAGAAGGAAGGACTCACTGGAGAAGAACCTAATGCTGGGAAAGATTGAGGGCAATAGAAGAAGGGGACGACAGAGAATGAGGTGGCTGGATGGAGTCACTGAAGCAGCAGGTGTGAGCTTAAATGGACTCCAGAAGATGGTAGAGGACAGGAAGGCCTGGAGGAACGTTGTCCATGGGGTCGTGATGGGTTGGACACGACTTCGCAATGAACATCAACAACAAACAAAAAGAATTTATTTATGTAGACAATCTATCTCTATTTCAGCGTGCAAAATGTCCTAGAAGTGCATTCACTCAAATTTTACCTAAATTTAGAAATGGGGGGACACTGACAGACGAAATGGTGCCACAATCCTATGCAAGACTTAAAGGTTGCTTCTCTGTCAGTTTCCCACCATTGTTTCTTGTCCTTCCCTCTGTTGCTTTGGAGAATAAATTGACACCCCCATTTTTTTGTGGCAACCTCTCAAATATTGGAATACTGCTATTATGTCGGCCCTGGTCTTTCTTTTCTCTAGACTGGCCAAACCCAAATCCTGCAACCATTCTTTATATGGTTTAGCAACCGGGCCTTTAAATTTTAGTCTCTCCCATCTCCCAGCCAAAAATTAGAGGCAGCAGATTTAAATAATGCAGCATAAGTGCAAAAGCGTTTGGGAACAGAAAGCAGCAGCTGACACGTTTCAGCCTAGTTGCTTCTCTGCTTTTACACCGTGGAGGAAATCAAACAGCCCGACTTGGAAAACAAGTTGACTCCCTCTTCTTTGCGGGAGCCTCTCAAATATTGGAATACTGTTATCATGTCATCTCCCATCTCCCAGCAGAAAATCACAGGCAGAAGTTTTAATCATGCAGCATAAGTGCAAAATCATTTGGAAATAGAAGGAACATGCAGCGGCAGCAGCAGCCGACATGTTTCAGCCTTGTTGCTTACTTTGCTTTTACACCGTGGAGGAAACCAGGCAAATCTACTTGCTCCCCCTCTCCTCCGACCTGCCCCCCACTCACCTTCCAGCTGCTGCTTCGTCCCTGGGAAGAACACGAGAGCCGCTCTACACCTCTCCATCCTCCCGTGGATGACTCGGAAGAGGAAGTTCCTCTGCCCTTCTCCTCGCCTCGACGTCCTTTCTAGCAATACTCGATGGTTTTAACTCTTTTCACCTCCCTCCGGTTGAATATGGCAACTCGGCCACAGCTGATGCCTTCTTAGATTGAAGGTTTTCCTGCTGTTGTTGTGTTAGAGCTCCACCTAGTGACGTGAGCCTTGAAATACACTCATTCTGTCTCTATCCGGAGCTTCTAAGATTTTTTCTCC